GAACCAGGAGGTCAGGATTCAGTTCCCGGTCAGGGCACATGCCAGGGTTGTGGGCTTGATCCTCAGTAAGGGGCGTGCAGGAGGAGCCAACCTATGATTCTCTCTCATCATTGACATTTCTATCTCTGTCTCCCTCTCCCTTCCTCTCTGTCTAAAACCAAGTTAAAAAAAGAAAAGAAACGAACCTGTGATTGGTTCTTGGGGTTGAATTATGTCCTTCCCACAGAAATATGGAAGTACATGTGCCTGTGAATGGGGCCTTATCTATCTATATATATAAAGACTCAGGGTTCGTAACATCCACAACAACCAAAGGCTCCACCGAACACCAGAAGTCAGTGCTGGGTCGCCACCAGCACTGACTTCCGAGGGGGCTGCGGATCAGGTCCAGAGAGAGGCCTGCAGAGAGAGAGGCAGGCTCTGATCCATAGCCTTCGTGGCAGCTGTTGATCAGCTGTTGCCTCGCTCTTTCTCTCCTGGCTTCACCAGCAGCCATGCCTGTTTCTCTCCGGGCCTGGGGGGGGGGGGGGGGCTGCTGATAAGCCCCGCCTCTTTGATCAGGACCAGAGATAGGCCCAGAGACGCTGACTGGCATAGAAACTGACCAATCAGAACCAAATCTGGGTGAAGTGCCAGGAGCCAATGGCTGCCTAGGAGGTGGAGCTTTTGATGCTGACTGGCATAGAAACCAACCAATCAGAACCTAATCTGGGTGAACTGTGACAGCAGAATCTAAGGTGAGGGCTGAGGAGGGGTTTTAAGGGCAGCACTGTTTGGTGTAAGGCCATGGTTGGCAAAATGCAGCTCGAGAGCCACATGTGGCTCTTTGGCCCCTTGAGTGTGGCTCTTCCTAAGCCTTAGGAGTACCCTAACTAAGTTAATAACAATGTACCTACCTATATAGTTTAAGTTTAAAAAATTTCGCTCTCAAAAGAAATTTCAATTGTTGTGCTGTTGATATTTGGCTCTGTTGACTAATGAGTTTGCCAACCACTGGTGTAAGGTATAAGAAAGTGCTACGATTTGCCAAAACCGGTTTGACTCAGTGGATAGAGCGTCAGCCTGCGACTGAAAGGTCCCAGGTTCGATTCTGGTCAAGGGCATGTACCTGGGTTGCGGGCACATCCCAGTAGGAGATGTGCAGGAGGCAGCTGATCGATGTTTCTCTCTCATCGATGTTTCTAACAATCTCTCTCCCTTCCTCTCTGTAAAAAAATCAATAAAATATATTAAAAAAAAGAAAAGGGAAATAAACCCAACTATTTAAAAAAAAAAAAAAAGAAAGTGCTACAATTTTTTAAAATATATTTTATTGATTTTTTACAGAGCGGAAGGGAGAGGAATAGAGATAGAAACATTGATGAGAGAGAAATATCGATCAGCTGCCTCCTGCACACTCCCTACTGGGACCCTTCAGTCCACAGGCTGACACTATCCACTGAGCCAAACCAGTTAGGGCAGTGCTACAATTTTTTAATGACCGGTTTGGCAATATAGTGCATATGGCTGGCTATCAGTCCAGATATGTGTTTTTGTCTGCCAAGAGCATCTCCTCCTGCTGAAAAAGGCTCCCTCTCCCCTCATTTAAGCAATCCTATCCTATATAATCTATACTAATAAAAGGGTAATATGCTAATTAGACTGGGTCGACCGGTCATCTTACAGACGTCTGACTTCCTTCCAGACAAAGCCATGGTGGTGGGGGCCAAGGCAGAGGCAGTTAGTGGCAATCAGGCCAGCAGGGGAGGGTGGTTGGGGGCGAGATCAGGCCAGCAGGGGAGGGCAGTTAGGGATGAGATCAGGCCAGCAAAGGGGGGGCAGTTAGGGGCGATCAGGCAGGCAGACAGGTGAGCGGTTAGAAGCCAGCAGTCCCAGATTGTGAGAGGAATGTCCGACTGCCGGTTTGGGATGGGGCCTAAACCGGAGGTTGGACATCCCCCAAGGGGTCCCTGATTGGAGAGGGTGCAGGCTGGGCTGAGGGAATCTGCCGGAGTCCATTCATTGTCTTCACTAGCTGAGTTTAGACAGAGACCCCCCAAAAGCTAGTAACCTTTGAAGTTCTAGCAAAGGTCAGAACTGTGCACCACCCAGTTAATTTAGGTAATAATAGTTGAAGCATCCCCACCTTAGTTCCCTTAATTCCTTAGATACTTATGTAGATCCTTGTTGATTATTGTTAATCAGATACTCTGCCTACTCCCGGAAATCTATTGATGAGCTAATCAGATACTTTGTCTATTCCTGGAAATTGTTTGCTGATCAGTGTGTCATTGAAACCTCCTTACCCTAAGGGCTACTCCAGATCAATAAAAGATTGGAACGGCCTGAGCATCGGAGGAAGTCCTTCGGGACCTGCCCACCTGGTCCCCCAATATTGCAAAATTATCTTGTGTCTTTTTCTCTCATTTGTTGTGCGGCTCCTCTTTCAGATACCGAACCCTACTCCACGCAGAATGTGGAGGGATTCTTACTCGACAGGAACCCCTCTCCCCTCCATGCACAAATTTCGTGCAACGGGCCACTAGTCTATGTATCTAAAAAGCCAGCGACTGTAACGCTGTAATGACTGTAATGACTGGTTGCTATGATGCCCACTCTGGCCAGTGAACTGACCTGATCAGGTACATATGTCTCCTTTTTTCCCATTGACCCAGGAGCTCTCTATGTGGTTCGCTGAGGCTGATCTCTGGCCAGCATTGCAGCTTTACTTATTCCTTTGCTCAAACCTGCTCTTTTCCCATTCTTCCCAGTTACTGTTCTCAAAAGTATCCTTTAATAAGTACTGCCCACTACCAGGATCTCCCACCCCGATCAAGGGTGGGGCCAGGCGGCCAAATGCCCCACCCCCTTCCCCCAGGCCAGGCCCACCCCCAATCGGCCCACCCCACCATGTTAGGCCTGTAGCCCGACCCCCTGGCTGGCCCTGCCCCTGATTGCTCCCCTACCCTAATAGGGGGTGGGGCTGGCTGGCCAACCTCCTGCAGCCCCTCCCCTGGCTGGCCCCACCCCCAATGGGCCCCCACCACCCTGATTGGCCTGAAGCCCCTCCCCCTGGCTGCCCCCCCCATTACCCCGACCCCAATAGGGGGCAGGGCCAGCCGGCCAACCACCCATAGCCCCTCCCCTAGGCTGCTGGCCCCCAATCAGCACCCCCCACCCCACTTGGGGGTGGGGCTGGCCAGCCAACCGCCCACAGCCCCTACCCATGGCTGGCCACACCCCCAATCGGCCCCCCCAACCCCAATCAGGGGAGGGGCCTCCCGGCCAATTGCCCGGGGCCCCTCTGCTCAGCCAACCAACCTCCTGCCATCTCCTCTCCCACAGGCCCAGCCGTGATCCACCCGGATTGGGGCTGGGCTGGGTGGGCCCCACCCGTGCACGAATTCGTGCACCTGGCCTCTAGTTTAGAAATAAAGCCTTTGCAGGTGTGATCAAGTTAAGAGGGTCATGCTAAACCCAGGGACGGTGGCCTGATAGGGAGCTTAGACACAGGGACACAGGGCGTGGCCCCCTGGCAACAGAGGCGAAGTTGGCGTGAGGGGTCTGGCCACCCCCAGAATCTAGGAGACAGGCTGGGAACAGCTTCTCCCCAGAACCCCAGCAGGTGCCCACCCACAGCACCCCAATTCTGGCCTTCAGGACTCTGAGGGAACCAAGTCCTGTGGCTTCAGGACACCAGTCCTAGGAATATAGTGCAATGGTTTTGTGGGTTTTGCTTTTTTTATTGCAATAAGTGTAGGTTCACATGCAGTTGTAAAAAAAATCACACAAAGCCCTGGCCATTTGCCCAGTGGATAGAGCGTCGGCCTGAGGACTGAAGGGTCTTGGGTTCGATTCCGGTCAAGGGCATGTACCTGAGTTGCAGGCTCTATCCCTGGTCCCAGTTGGGGCTCATGCGGGAGACAACCAATCGCTGTGTCTCTCTCGCATCGATGTTTCTCTCTCTCTTCCTCTCTTCCTCCTTCCACTCTCTCTAAAAATCAATGGGAAAATATCCTCGGGTGAGGATTAACAAACAAAAAGAACAAAGCAAAAGTCACACAGAGATCTTTGCCCAGTTTCCCCCAATGGTGACATCGTGCAAAATTATAGCTCAATGTCCCAACCCACCCACCTGAGCCAGGCCCCAGCCCCGTTTACCTGTATGAGTGCATCACCAGGTCCTTCGTTGGATCTCTTGTAGGTTCACGTATCCACCACAGGGAAGATGCTGCGTCCAGCACCCACCGCCTCCCCACCCCCGCCCCCGCCCTCATCCCTGTGCGCCCCCATTCTCACTCCATTTCCCCAATGGCGTCATTCCAAGCGCTTTGTGGAAATGGACTCCACGGTGTGCAGCCTTTGGGGAGACTCCTCCTGGTCATCCTTTGGGTCGCCGAGCCGTGGCCGAACCGACTGGCGTCTGCCCCGCCTGCTGCAGGCTCGGCTGGGTCCAGGTTCCGGCTGAGGCCAGTGAAGCTGCCGTGAGCTTCGCGCACAGGTTCCCGGAGCACAGCTTGCACTTCCCTCGATGCCCGGCGGCGGCATTGCCCTGCAGCTCGCGGAGTGGGCCGTCGCTAGAGAGACCAAAGCGCTCAGATTCCACCCTGCAAACCGGTGGCCTCGCTCTGCTGTGTGCGCCGGCGCTCCCGTTCCTCTGCCCGGTGTGAGCGCCACGGCCGGCCGGCCGCCGGCATCGCTTCCCGCCGCCGGGCAGCACGCGTGCCGGGGCCACGCCGCAGGACCGTCTCCCCGCCACCCAGGCCTCTCGTTCGCTCACCCTCTTCCTCGCTCATCTGGTCACCGGACAGCGTTTCCTGCACCCGGAGCGCGGGCTGTCCGGCCACCTGCCAGCAGAGGGCTGCCGGCCGCGGGGAGCAGGCCGCACGCCCCCGCCCCACCCCGGGACAGGTGGAGGAGACGCTGCAGCCGGCCGTGACCTCTGCTCCCGCGGGTCCGTCGCTCAGCGGCTGCATTCACGGCCGCCTTCGGACACTGACACTGTCCCTCCCGCCTCCCGCCTCCCGCCTCCCGCCTCCCGCCGGGCAAGCCAGGCGCCGGCTGTGTCGGGCCCAGCGGCGGAGCAGTTCACGTCTTCTGTCAGAGGGCTGGGCTGTGCGGCCGGCCCTGTGGGCCCCGCGGGCCGAGCACCACCTGGCCCGGCCCTCAGGTCCGGGGCCGCAGCGCCTGGACACGGCTGTCCTACACACGTGAGGCCCGCACAGGGCGGCGAAGACGCTGAGAAGATGCGGAAGCACCGCGTCTGCAGTCAGCTCACCGACAGTCCTGCGCGGCGTGGGCGTGGGGAGCCACCAGCAGGGGGGCGTGAGGAGCACCGCCAGGAGTGACCCAGGCGCCGCCTGTTCGGGCGCAGAGCCGGCATGGCGCCGGGCTCCCCAGCGCAGGGCCGAGCGCGCAGCGGAAGGTCCGGGTCTGGAGGCCGAGGCCCCGCTGCCGGTGCCGGCGGATTTCCCTCAGAGGCGCCTCCTCCCGCGTCTCCCTCACCTTCCCTGCGTCTCTGTGTCCGCAGGTCCCTTCCCACCGGGACACGGTGGGCGCAGGGTCAGGGCCACGCGGGAGACCTAGCACCCGGTGACTCACCCGGTCACCTCCGGGGACCTGTCTCCAGTCCCATCCCGAGGTCAAAGGTCAGGCGTCCAAGGGGACACAGTGTGGGGACGAAGGTCAGCCCTGACAGGCCTCAGTGGGGAAGTGGGGCTTTGCTTGCGGAGGAAAGCGGGGAACCTCCGAGTGCCGGGAAGGGGAGCCGGGCAGCAGGCAGGCCAAGGAGGTGGGCTCTGCGGCGGACCGACCTCAGCCTTTCCCGCCGGGGACCAGCCCTGCGGCCCTGGAAACAAACCAACATCCGCAGAGCCTGGCGCCCCCGCCACGCGACCTGCCCGCGGGCCGCCCCAGGACGGTGGCCCTCCCGGAGCAACGCCGCGGCTCCAGGTGAGCCGTGTCTGCCCCGCCCGCTGTGGGGCTCCGTTCCCGTGCCGGCTGGCGCTCTGCTTTCTAGTTCTCCCCCAGGACCTCCGGGGCGGGGCGGGGCGCGGCGCTGATGTGAGAGAGGCGCGGGCCGGGCTCCTGCGCGCTCCTGGCCGCGGGCCAAGCCGGTGACGGGCCTTCGGTGCGTGGACGGCGCTCTGGGCACACTGGCCGGGCTCTCGTCTTTAAGATCTGTTCCTAGAACATAACGAAAAATGGACAACCTCCCACATCAGGACATGACGATCTGCTTTTTGTTGCTGTTGATCCTCACCTAAGGGTATTTTTCCATTGATTTTTAGAGAGAGTGGAAGGGAGGGAGAGAGGGAACACAAGAGAGACACACATAGATCGGTTGCCTTCTGGGGATCACACCTGCATCCCAGGTACATGCCCTTGACGGGAATTGAACCCGTGACCGTTTGGTGCGTGGGTGACACGCCAACCACTGAGAACACTGGCCGGGACTCAAGTGCCTTTTTAAAAAATATATATTTTTATTGATTTCAGAGAGGAAGGGAGAGGGAGAGAAGACAGAAACACAATGAGGAGAGAGAGTCATGGATCGGCTGCCTCCTGCACGCCCCCTACTGGACATCGAGCCCACAACGCCGACACGTGCCCTGACTGGAATTGAACCCAGGACCCTTCAGTCCGCAGTCCCATGCTCTGTCCACTGAGCCACACCAGCCAGGAGCTCAAGTGCCTTTTCTATGTTCATTGATCACTTGTATTTCAAATTCTGTGATGAACTAGATTTTTGCATATTTGACGAGCGGGGAAGCTGGCTAAGCCTGACTCGGGGTCCGCGTGTGTTTCCAGGCCCAGGCCCCAGCGTCCCTGCCGCGGGCACCTGCCTGCCGCGGGCACCTGCCTGCCGCGGGCACCTGCTCCTGGAGCTCTTCCTCGCGGGTTCTCAGCCCACAGGACGCCCTCAACCAGGGATGGAGCCCGCCTTGCCCTGGGCCTCTCCCAGGATGTCCTGGGCCCTGGTGGAGGGTTTCCACGGCCCTAACCTTGTCTAGTATGTTCTGGAATGTGTTGGAGTGTCTCTGAGCCATTCCGGGCAAGGACAGACCAGGTTTCCACAGATTTCTAAGTTAGTGTTTCCGACTTCTCTTAGAAACACACATCATTTCAGTTGCAGCATTTCTAGAAAATGTTTATTAATTGGTAACACGCATTCGGAGCGGCAAGTGCAGATTCTGGGAGGAGGAGGGTGGCCGGTGGGGAGTGGTGCCCACACAGCCCCTGGGTCAAGGGGGTTATGAGGCCTGGCGACGACCTGCGGACTTGGGGGTGTGGGAGCCCAGGGCGTGGGGAGAGGGACACTGTCTTCATGGGCTGAGCTCCTGGCACCCGCAGAACGAGGCCAGAAGTCAGCGGCCCTGGGGCTCCCCCCGCCACCCCCGGGCTCCTGGCCTCCCTGACAGTCCAGGGCAGGAACCTGCCGGAAGCCAGGTGTGGCCGTTCAGCCTCCTTAACCCTCGGAGGTGGCTCTCCCTCGTCTGCAGGCGCAGCGGGTTCCTGATGCTCGTCCCTGCGCCACGGGGCGTGTGGCCACGGGGCCTCCACCGCCTCGGGAAAGGAGGCTCCGGGCCCTGGCTCTCCTGGAACCCCGCGGCACCTTTTCTGGGAATGGCTTCTCCCATAGCCCTCCGTCCCACCAGCCGTCTTCGCCAGAGGCTTCAGCCTGTGATTTCACGAGACAATGAGCACGGACTCCACCCCCACATTCGGTGTCACTGGCACCCGAGTAGGAGGAGCTTCTCGCCACAGGAGAACAACAGGCCAGGAAGACGCGGGACCCCAGGAGTCAGACCCTGCGAGGACCGGGGACTGTCCTGAAGGCGCCCGTCGCACACCTGCCTTCCGCCCGCCTGCCCGCCCAGCTCGGCCCAGGCTGCTGAGGACTGTCCCGCCAGCCACCGCATGAGGAGCCACCCCAGTCGGGGCGGCCAGCATCGCCCCCGTGTCCCCTTGGCTCGGTGCTACACCGCCCTTCCTTTTGGATGTCCCATCCCCATCCTCTTTCCCTAAATAAATTCAATTTTTCTTTATCCACCAAAAAATAAACAAAACAAAAAACCACCTCAGAGATGGACGCTGGCAGCTCAGACCCCGTGTTGGCGCCATGCCCGGCTCCCACAGCATCGACAGACGCTCGGGCCTCCCAACACTACCACCCACTCAAGCCTCTAAAGGGGGAACATTCAGAATGGAAGGGACTCCAGGTCTCGGCTGGTCTGGCCAGCGGGCAGCTCGCCCCGAAGGCAGTGTTGCCGTGTGGCCTCCATCAGAGCCGCCTCCTTGCCGAGCTGCCGGCTGTGGGCTCCTGGGGGCTGTGAAACGGGGCGGGGGTGGGGATGGGGGGCATCTCCCAGGCTCTCTGCAGGGTGTGGCCATAAACCCTGCCCCTGCCCCTGCCCCTGAGCTCAGGCTGAGCTTACTGGGGAGGAAAACACGTCCCCTCTGCCCTCGTAGGTTCCGTCCCTGACCTGGGAGTTAGCCCCACGACGGACAGGTCCCCAGGGCGAGGCGCTGAGGTGATCGCTGTGCTGTGGGTGGCGACTTGGTGATGAGTGACTCACAGGGCCAGGCAGAATGGGGGCTTACTCCAAGGTCACAGCTGAGGGGGAACAAGTGACTTTTTGGAAAGATGAATGGTTTTCAGGAGAATGAACAGGTGAGAGAGTTTGGGAAGTCGTCTACAGGTCTACAGGTCTGAGTGGTCTTCCATCTCCTTCAAGTCCGTAAAACTCCCTTGGAGAGAGTGTTTCTGGTCTCATCTCCCGAGGCACCATTTTCTTGCGTCTTCTTTTTAAAAAATATATTTTTTATTGATTTCAGAGAGAGAGGGAGAGGGAGAGAGATAGAAACATCAATAATGAGAGAGACTCATTGACCAGCTGCCTCCTGCACGCACCACACTGGGATGGAGCCCACAACCCAGGCATGTGCCCTGACTGGGAATCGAACTGTGACCTCCTGGTTCATGGGCTGACACTCAACCACTGAGCCACACCGGCCAGACTTCTTATGTCTTCTGAATCTCAAGTGTCTTCAGCTTAACCTGATCTTTTTCCCAAAGTGTCTTGTTTGGGTGGGTGTATTCTGATCCCCTCAACCTCCATCTGGGTCCTGAAGCAATTCTGGGCCTGACCAGCCCACAGACTCACATCCCGAGGGGCTATCTTGGGCCAGTCATGCACCCCCAGCAGGAAGAGGCCAGAAACGCACATTCCCAGGCTGCCCTGCACCTGCTCAATCAGTCCTGTGGCCACAACCCTCCGGTGATTCCCGTCGGCCCCAAAAGAGAGTCTGGGGGAGCCCGGCCAGTGTGCTCAGTGGTTAGCCGGCCCGAGCACCAAAGGGTCTTGGGCTCAATTACCAGTGAAGGGTGTGTACCTGGGTGGCAGGCTCAATCCCCAGGCCCTGCTAGGGCTTGTGCAGGAGGCAACCAATAGATGTGTCTCTCTTACAGCAATGTTTCTCTCTCTCTCTCTGGCTCTTCTCTCTCCCCTTCCCTCACTCTTCCACTCTCTAAAAATCAATGGAGAAAATCTCCTCAGGCGAGGATTTTTAAAAAGTACAATAATCACATCACCACCAATAGGAATAAAAATAATGTTTGCCAAGTGATATAACCAAGTGGTACTTTTCACCTATCAGCTTGCTAGAGATTGAAGATAAACAGTTGGGTCTTTTAATTAAAAATATTTTTATTTATTTCAGAGAGGAAGGGAGAGGGGGGAGATAGGAACTTCAATGAGAGAGCACCACTGATCGCTGCTCCTGCATGCCCCTACCATCTTTCCGAACGGAGACCTGCCCCCATGGAGCCCTCGCTCTGCCCTTCCCACCCTCCTCCCGCGGCCCCCAGCCCATCTCTGGGTCTGACTCGGTCTTCACTCCTGAGTGCACCCCACGGCAGCCTCCGCCCTGTGGCTGGCCAAGCAGGAGCGCTGTCCGCGGATCACCCGCTTGTCCTCGCTGGCCCTTCTCCCATGTCCTTCCCTGGCCGCCTGGCAGGACCACCTGCCAAGCAGGACCCCAGAGTCCTTGCTGGCACCTGTCTCCTTCACCCCTGCCCTCCCCACCCCCAGAGCTGGGCCCGCCGCCTCCCTCCCCGACTCAGCCGAAAGCAGCCGTGAAACAAGGCAGGAAATGACTCCTCCTCGCTCCCCCGGGCTCAGCCGTTACCACCCTGCTCCTCACAGCACCTCACTGAAGGGCGAGGAGACAGGTCCTGGGGTGACAGCCTCGGTTCCACAGGTGCAGGGGGTCCCCTCTCCCAGGAGCTGAGACCGTGCAGGCCCCAGCCTGCCACCTGCCCCTGCCCCTGCCCCTCAGGGACTCTGGGCACCACCCCTGCAGGCGCTGCAGGCGGCCGGGGTGAACCTGCCTGGTTGGCTGGCACCTGGAGCCTCTGAACCCTTAGTCCCTGTGACTGACGTGGTTTCAGGCACAAGGCCCTCAGGGGGCTACAGCTGGGGGCCCAGGCTCCTTCAGGGGAGCCATCTGCCAGCCGGCACACCTGCGGGCTGTCCTGCCCTGACTCACAGCCACTGCCCGGCTCCACCCTCCTTTCCTGCCCTCCCCGTCGCAAACCAGAACTGCTGGGCCCCGCGTGACTCACCTGAGCCCTCCAAGCCTTCCGGGCAGCCACCCAGCAATGCCAGCTCATGAGATGTCTCCCAAGTGCCTAGAGCAGTGGTCGCCCACCGGAGGTCCGCGGGCCCGGAGGACCCTCCCCAAGGCCGGCAGGCTGGAGGGGGCTGCCAGTCGGTCAGGCATCAGTGAGAACGAGCAGCTTTGCCCATTCACGGTCCTTGGAGCAGGACGAGCGGGAGGAGCTGGAGGGTGTGGGACGGAGCCCCTGGTTTCCCAGGGGAGGGAGGGGGCGCGATGAGCGGCTGTTCTTGGGAAACAGCCCTGTTGTGTGTGCTGCCCTGACCCCGAGGAGAGCCCCGCTGAGAAGGACTGCAGCTCCCCTGCGAGTCGGAACCTCAGCATGGACCCCCGTGCCGTCAGACGCTGGAGAAGACACGGGGGAGGGGCGAGGTCCGGGGGCCCGGGGCAGTGAGAGGGCCGCTGGGAGTGGTGACGGACCGTCTGCCCGGCGGTGAGTCACCCTGCACAGTGCCAGCAAGTCCCGCGCCCACACCTGCAGGTCCGGACGGGCGTGCCCCAATGCCAACGGCCGGCAGCCCGTCTGTGCTGGGTGCTGACTGGCTGGTGGATGGAGTGTCGCCATGTGAGTGGCACCCAGTGGGGTTCAGGTGTCGGGCCCGGGCTAAGGGTCCTCATAAGCACTACGAAACCCAATTGTCCTTAGGAAACAACATTTTATTTTCTAACAATATATTTTTATTGATTTCAGAGTGGAAGGGAGGGGGAGAGAAAATAGAAACATCAATGATGAGAGAGAACCATTGATCGGCTGCCTCCTGCACGCCCCTCACTGGGGATCGAGCCCGCAACCGGGGCCTGTGCCCTGCCTGGGAACTGAACCGCGACCTCCTGGCTCACATAGGACGATGTTCAACCATGGAGCCGCGCTGGCCGGGCAGGAAGCAACATTTCTGATGTACACAGAGATGAATGCAGATGCTGAGAAATGCTGGGAGTATTTCAAGAAAGATAAAATCTACCACCGGGCCGAAACCGGTGTGGCTCAGTGGATAGAGCGTCGGCCTGCGGACTGAAGGGTCCCAGGTTCGATTCCGGTCAAGGGCATGTACCTGGGTTGCGGGCACATCCCCAGTAGGAGATGTGCAGGAGGCAGCTGGTCGATGTTTCTCTCTCATCGATGTTTCTAACTCTCTATCTCTCTCCCTTCCTCTCTGTGGAAAATCAATAAAATATATTTAAAAAAAAAAAAATCTACCACCGCGTGGCCAGAGCTGCTTTTGATCACAGGGAACCCTGGCTCAGCATCACATCTTTTTAAAACAGAAGAGCCCAGACTGTGAGCATGACTCTGGCCCAGAAAAAATGGTCCTCTTCATCGTGGGCCATCAGCCTGACTTAGGACAGGCACATAAGGTGATGTCAGGAACTGCCATTCCTGGGAATGCTGACTTCTCATTCCCGAATCCCCAGACGCACCCCTGTCCAGCCTGGTGACTAAGAACCACCCACGTCACCCACTCCATTTCCTCTGCTGACTGCCCCCCCCCCCCCACCATTACAGGCCTCTTGTTCATTCAACAAATTTTTCTTGAACTTCGCCAATGTCTGGGGCTGGGTGGGGCCCTGGGATGGGTGCCCGTGGCCCCGCCCTCCAGGAGGACACGCAGGTGGGGTGGCAGCGACCAGGTGGTTAGAACAGGACATGCCAAGTGTCTGCAGGGCGAGGCGGGTCAGAAAGCTGTGGGAGTGAAGCCCCAAGGACACCGACCTGGGAGGGAGGGTGTCCCCAGCATGGGGTGGGTGTCCTGGGCACAGGGTGGGTGTCCCGGGGTATGGGGCGGGTGTCCTGGGCACGGGGTGGGTGTCCCGGGGTATGGGGTGGGTGTCCTGGGCACGGGGTGGGTGTCCTGGGCACGGGGTGGGTGTCCCGGGGTATGGGGCGGGTGTCCTGGGCACGGGGTGGGTGTCCCGGGGCATGGGGCGGGTGTCCCGGGGTATGGGGCGGGTGTCCCGGGGTATGGGGTGGGTGTCCTGGGCATGGGTGGGTAGGAAGAAGGGGCAGAGGCCGGGTCGGGCAGAGAACCTCATGCCCAGGAGAGCCCCTCATGTCAGCAGCAGCCTCCCAGAGGGCTGCCTGGTCTGGACGCCCGCCTCCTGCACGCCCCCCCCCCCCCCTCCCGCCCAGTCTGTGTGGCAGAGGGACTGTAGCCAATGCCATGAGGTCATGGAGTCCTCACCCCGCCCGGCCAACCTCAGCCCTGACTCCGTGAGCCGGCCGCCCACTTTGCCTGCAGGGTTCCTGCCCAGCCCAGAGAGGCCGCGGCCCTTCGGATACAGCACGGCCCTGTGTGCCGGCGGTCAGCATGGGGGAGTGAACGGCCCAGGCTCAGAGCTGGCAAGCGTGTGGACCCCAATCCTGTGGGGAGTGTGGCCTTCAATGCAGCCACCCTTCCGCC